GGACGTTCAGATCTTTTGGGTAAGCTCTTGACTTCTAAAATGCTGTATTTTGAAAGGACGTATCTGCCGTCCTATTGCTTGAACTGTATGCACAACACTTGGCTGAACCTTTTTCTCATGATGTGCCTGTTTATTAACTGATCATTTAATTGGATCTATAACTTACACAGTTGTCCAATTTCCTCTGCTTTATAACTATACCTGGGTTTTGGGTCACGATTACTCTGAAGTCTATTTTACGGTCTTCTGTTGACTCCGCGCTTAAAAAACATAGAGTAGAAGACTGTCAGTATACTTAATAATGCCAAAAAACTGGCACTCTACACTCCTGCACTCCCTTGTATTATAGCACACAGAAGATCTCTGTCTTGGTATATTTCTCATTGATTCGGAGGCCTATTCTCTTCGTTTAATAATTCAAATAGGGTTAACTATTTACCTTATTCGAAAATATAGACCTTGCGTTTTATCTTAAAATCATGCACTGAAAAAAACATAACGCATTAGTATTACTTTGATTTCATGCTTTTCAAAACACCCTCCTTGACGGGAGTGTTTTACAGATGAGTTGCGACCTGCCTATGCGGCTTTGCCCTTTACGATTGGGTAGCCCCCACCGTTATCGTCAACTTCACGGCATAATCACGTTTCTCACCCTTTGTCTACCCTGTTCCCACACTGATAAAGTGGAAATACATTCAATGGCCGTTAGCGGGGGAGCGAATTAGTCCACTCGATGCTTTCTGACGTTTGTGTGTTTCCCTGGTGCCATATGCCGGCATATTATAGGCATGTGTATGCCAGCAAAACGCCTACACGTAGATTGGCTGAGATATTCACGGATAAAGTGTAGTCAGTGTGGTCATGACTGTGATTGTTGCATGAATCTCTGTAAACAAATCCGAAGGTCAATAGGCTTAGCCTCATAATGTATGCTTTTGAGCAAACGGACATTATTATTTTTGGTGGTTCCAGGATTTCAACGCGCTTTACCTGCGCTATCATTCGCATTAACAACTATTTACATGGTTCCAAGAGATACAAAGTGATGTATTAGAAAGCAAGCCACTTTATGCCGGAGTTATGCCAGCATGGGGCATGGAAATACCGGCATTAGGCCAGTATATTGCTGTAAGGGTTTCTTACTAGCTATTCTATTTCTGCAGCGATTGCGTCACCTGTCTTTTCCTTCACGCGTCGCTGGCTCCTGACGGGTATTTTTCCCCGAGCTTTATTGTATTGCAAAAGGTTTTGGACTCTAAACCGTTTTTATAGGTTACCTACTCCTCAGAATATGTATGTCTTTTACTTCAGACGATGTCGGGCGCTTATGGCACGGATGGTAACCAATCATCCAAAAATTCGTTGGAAGACATGGAAAACATGTTTGTTATTCCGTATTTATTCCTATTCCAATTTATAGTATCAACCAGCAAGTTGCAGCTATAGGACAGTTGGGTGCTTCGCTTTCCGCGCTAGAGAAAGAAAACGAACGTTTGGGTAAATATTTCTCATTTTAACTTCTCGCTCTGCCGAGGTGCATCATATATTTTCCGGACGTTGCTTGTTTATTTTTTTTTGCGGTCGTCATAAAACCCACTAATCTACTGGCCCTCGGGACGTGTTCCCTGCACGAATAGTTAACTCACCGCAAGTGTGTGTTTGATAGTTCTACTAAACGAGGACTCACGTTTTTATCCTCTGCGATGTTTGAGTCGCGTTTTATTCAGGCATTACAACCGCCAGTGCCGCGGCCCTCTCTTGCTCGTCCATTTGCTTCTACTTGAAGAAGAGGTAGAGAAGAATATGTTTTGCTTGCCTCGAGTGCTGTCCTGACTTGTCCTAGTTTTCTTGATAGGACTAAAAAGGCGATGGTGCTAAGACCCTCTACTGTAAGATAACATCCTTGTAATATGTTTTTTTTCTACACGGGTGCACTTCAACTCTATTTGTTTTATAGATTCAATTCAAGTAGCTTCATGATTAAATTTCCTATTTTGTTGTCCACACTGCCACTGCGGAGTGCTTCTTTTCGATACACCCCTGATTTATTCCACCTATTTGTGCTGATCGAAATACCGATCACATGTTTTAAACTTGTGACTTATCTTTTACATTTGTATACCTACTAGGTTGGTTTGCCGCAGCTTTGGTTACCCTTGCTCAAGGTCCTACTGTTAATCTCCTTCCCAGTGTTGCTTACATTTTCTCGTCCCTGTAGCGTTCTTATCTAACATCTATTTATTTCTGTGAATTCCACGACTGTAAGACCATTTTTTTAATTCAGTAGAAGAAGTACTTTGGGAAACAGTGGTTTATTCGGTGAATTTTCGACAATGGCTCACGCGGGAATGTGGGAATTAATTGTCGACCACATTTAATTATGCGGTCGGTGGTGGCTAGTTTTTGCTTCCTCTAGTCTGGGTAGCTTGCCGTCTCTTCCATGCTTCCCTGAGGTTGATGCACATCGCGTCCAATTCGACGTGCCTGTTGATGCACAAGTCGTTGGAGTTGATAGCTTGTTGATGTTTGCGTAGGCGTGTGGACACTGATCTTCCTGTCTGTCCGCAATAAACCGCACTGCAGCCGCCACAAGGAATCTTCTAAATGACTTCCTTTCTCTCCACATAATCAACCCTGTCCTCAAGGTGTACAAGCTGATTTCGCAGCACAGTCGTTGGTTTGTGCGCCACTTGGATTTGATGCTTCCTCAGGTGTTTTTCAACGAGTTCAGTCACGTACTTAATATATGGAAGTGTTCGCTAACTTCTTGGATTGCGCGCCTGATCGGGACAACCTAGTTCCTTTTCTTTTTGTTTTAACTGTTGTCGACTCATGCATCGACGCAGCATCGACACCAGAGAGTTCTCTCTGGTGTAACCGTTTTTTGAAAACAGTTTGAGCAGGTAATTGAGTTCGGCTTAGTAGAGTTCGGTGCTAGAACAATGCGTTCATGCTCGATTGATTAGGGTAGTAACGGCACTCCGTTTCCGCGTGCGCTTTTTTGCGGTAAACTGATGTCTGGAGTGTTCCGTCAGTATTCCGCTGTACGAGGACGTCGAGAAATGGGAGCTTACTGTCAACTTCTTTTTCGAGCGTGAACGTGATGCCTGGCATCATTGAGCCAGTTTCGAATATTCACCCAATAACTTACCGTTTCCTAAAGTACTTCTTCTTCCGAATTATACTCCTTGGGATGCCGATTTTCCAGTTCATTTCTTATTCATTTCGCCGATTGCCAGTTATTTCTTTTGCGATTGTACCTCCATTAGTTTCATTCACACTTTCACCTTAACAAAACGGTATCTTAACCCAAAGCTAGAACTTATTACGGAGGGATGGATGGTCAAATCAGATAAATGGCTTCTGTCTTGAATACACTACATTGAATCAGCTGCTTGCTTTCTGTCAGCACGATGGTTGTCGTAGTCCGCTTTTAAAACAGAAGTTTTCTTCGACCTGATCAGAGTGAACCTCGCTCTTGCTCCTGTTTCCTGTCTCTTCTAACCACCC